GCGAGTAAAAGAATCCGAAGTAAAGGTGACAGCGCTCAGGAATGAGTTACACAATTACAAGTAAATTATGAGTCTCTTTAAACGGAACAGTAGGCTCATTATAATAACAATCGAGAAAAAAAACTTCTAAAACAATGTAGGCCGGCAATAGAATTGCTCCACCTTCAGCAAAGTTGGAGTACGGTACTGGGGCGTAATCGCCTCAGGACCACAGCATTGCAGCCCTTTGCTCTCCTTTACTTTCGGCCATATTTTTTTGTAAACCTGTGCAAAAATATTAAGCTCTTCAGAGACTAACAACTTCCGATGAAGCTGTTTTCATTTCATTGAGGAGGTTAACGTCTTCTTCCATGGGTTATGTTCTCGTAGTAGTATTTCGTGCGTTTTGCACTTATGGAGGACTATTGGTTATTACGTCGTCGCTTTCTTTTATTTCTAGTTTCATAAAATAGCACCCAAACACTTTTCTTGTGGAATTGAAGCAGCACATTACAGATGGATCTCCCAGATCCCTATCTCCCAGGCGCTATCAGTTTATTCGAGCAACTGGACAAAAAACTTGTTGTGGTACTTCGCGACGGTAGAAAGCTAATTGGATATCTGAAGTCAATAGACCAATTTGCAAATCTGATACTCGAGGATGTGGTGGAACGGACTTTTGTTGATAAGTATTACTGCGACATTAATCAAGGATTTCTTTTGATACGTGGCGAAAATGTCGAAATCGCTGGAGAGATCGATGAATCCATTCCAATGATTCATCAACAGGTTAGTCGGAAGAGCTTCTCCATAGTCATATGCTTGAAGGCAGATTTCGCTATTACAACTCGCAGCTATAGTCTAGTTCACTGCTGATGATGGGGCGTGTCAGCGGCAGCTGCGTTTGGCGCTATGCCAACTCGTTTTTTCCTTTTTTCGGAACACGACAAGACTGTATCATGTCGTTCTTATCACTCTTTTCCACCAGTTGTTGTCACTTACCAACTTCAACAACTGGTGGAGAATTGCTTTTTGGCGAGCCAAACGCAGCCGCGTGGACTCGCCACATCACCCGCATCGAACTGCACTGTAGTACGTTTGACTACGGATGGAAGGGTGCTAGGTAATTCCCCAATTGGAGGAAAAACAAAATAAACTGGTGGAGATGCTGTAATTAGACCCCTCTTCCAATTTCGATTGTGCTCGCATACGGTGAAGATGGTGCGTGTTCGCATGAATTCTTGCTTATTGATAACGAAATGGCGTCTCTTCTCTTGCCCCTATTATGCTTTTATATCCTTGGGATACTTCTAATTTCCCACTTTTCGCTGTCAAGCCACGGGAGGCGAAACGGTTAGGAGTTTTGCGGTCTGTGCGCGGGGCCTAATAAAATCCCTCAGGATTCCACACAGCAGCTCACATAGGCTTCTCTGTTGCAAGACTTCATTTTGCGCGTACTGCGGCATTAAACAGCAGTTATCGTAATAAAACAGCTTCATAGACTTATATTTTTTGCTTTTTTTGATTTGATGGTTATTTTCACATTTAGAACCTGCAACCACATTTTTATATAGCTTACATTAATTTCGAATTTCCTCATAAGTAATGGCTATCCTTGCTTATATCTGCCGAAAACCAACGCACAGGATTGCAGTAATGTCGTTAATGGACAGTCCTTTAACTTCTCAGCAAAAGCTGATGAAGTTGTTCTCGTCTTACTTTCCTAGTGCCTCCTATAACAACCTGAGCAAGCCCGTGGTCGATCAAGCACAGCAGGTTCTCTCAAAGATGGTGGACACATAGATATTCCTCGGGAGTTCGGACTAGCTTTCCATGCATTGTGCAGTTTGACTTTAAAACCTAAAAAGGGAAGGAAAATGTTTCGAACAATGCAGCTGATTGAGGCCTTTTCTTAACGAATTTGAGGGAATTTTCTTAAGTTTTTAGCACAATAGCCCAAACCATTTCGGCATCCATTGTCTCTAGCGAATTTTGTGTGTTTTCACTGTTTTTGGGATTGTCTTTGGGGGCAGTTCAGCACCAGTCCATAGAGGGATAGGAAATTCTCAATGAAATTAGTTA